AAAAAACAACAACAGTACAACAATTATGTAAAAAAAATTTTTTTATAACTTCTTAAACATTACAGGTAATGAGACAGGTAATATTTTTCCCCCCATTACAGTAACGAGATGTTGGTAAAATGTACTTTTACGAAGAACACAATCTATTTTCCCCCTTGGGTTTGATTTTGGGATTAAGTAATGTTTTTTTTTCTTTTTTTCCGTGAGACTGACCAATTATTTAGTCTCAGTTCTCAGCTGGCCCAGCATACGGTGTGTCTCATTTTACACTGATGAGTGTTGCAAACAAAACCACAGCTGGGATGTCAAAATAAACACCAACACCGGTGGTCTTGATGTTTAAAGCCAACATATCCTTATATAACCACTTGTTAGGCGCTCAATGATGTTAACATAACAGCTCACAAAACTGCAAAAGCTATTTGTTAAAGATCTTTCTGGCAATTTCCAGAGTGTTTTGGACACACTCGTACAATACAGCTACAAACCAAGGGCTGGAAAACCAGATAGTTTTATAAGGAAATGTCAGTCTAGAAAGGCCAGTTATTTGTATTTGAAGAGGAGATTCGATAGGCGATGGCATGTCCAAAGTCTGCAGCACATCAAACACGCAGATGAGACGCTGACAAACATTTTCTCATCCATCAAATCCCTTCTTAAATCTCTGTCCTTATCTAGTCTCCGCTGGGCCCGGGGCTGCGGTTCTCTTCTGTCTTTGATGAGATCCGTGTTTGACAACAGAAGAGTGTGCTGTTCCCTAATGTGACACCGCATATTCTCTACCACTGTGAAGGATATACAACCACAGGACAGCGCATCAGCAGAGAGTGATGGGGAGAGGGAGAAAGAGAACGCTAACTGCTGCATAATGCCTGGAGTAAACACCATTTCCTCACACCATCTCTGCTGTAATAAATGAGCAAATCAAGACAAAGAACAAATATTTGCCCGTGTTGTTCACTTACAGCCTATGATCCTATTTGGCTTGAAGGAATCTTAAGAAATAAAGCCTCCGTCAGCACTGTGTTTGGCGAAATCTACTGATTCATACAGTAATTGGGCTGTCAAACATACAGTCATTGAAACATCTCACAAAGAATCCCAGAACGTCTGAGCATCCGCAGGAGCAAAAGGTAAAGAAACTATATTTGATTTTCGCAGAAAGAATCTGCAATCGTCTTTGAAAGAAAGGAAGAAAAGTGCTGTCTAGATCCTCTGGAAAATTACTGTTAGATGTGAGATCTACAAGTAATTTATCCAAAATTGCTGGCTTGCTGGTGAGGTACCTGGAAGATGCTATGAGGGTCTTAACCACCAAATGGGGGGAAAAAAACTATAAAAATACATATTCCAGGAAGTATTTAGAAAGAGTTATTCAAAACAGTTATTGAGCCAGTCACTTTTTATGACCATAAAGGGGAACAAGTGCTTCTATTTGCTTGGCCTTACATAAAACATCAAATATCGAACGGTAAACTAAACCATGTAATCAAAACTACAAAACAGACAAATTATTTACCTAATAATAATAATAATTAATTCATATTAGATAACGGTGCCTTGCAACTATGCGAAGGCCAATTTAGGACATTAAATATGATGAAAATAAGAAAAAATAAAACATTGCAAGAATGCAAAGAAAAACATTCCAGATAAGTACACGCCACATTCCTTCATCTGTCATCATCTCTCCAATGAAAACAGGTTGCTGAGTGGACTGCTTTATTAAACTCTTTTCATTCTCAACCCCCTAATACCTCAAATCATCATTACATCACGAAACTGTAGACGTGGAGGATGCTGTCTGAGAAAGGGCCATAAAGAAAGCTATCCGTTAGTATTGGCCATTGGGATCGCAGCTTTCTGTGTTGTTCACAAATACTACTACTACTACTAATACATTATCCAAAAGACAAAATGTATTCGTTTACAAATCCTAAACTATGCTACAAGTGTTTTAAAGTCATAACATAGTACTGTATAAGGAACCACATGTTGTTTAAGTCTTTATTAATCATAAATCTCACATGTAATCATAACTTGCTTGAGCAGTTCAAGTTGTGTTTATTCACTAGCATTTATTTCAGATGAAAACTTATGTGAACTGTATGTATAGATACATTTTTAGAAGTTTAGCAGAAATGTAGCAAGCCTGAGTTGAATATAACTATACTAAAAACTACTTGCTGTCAATGAAGAAGCAGACTTAAGTGTGCATACTCCAAACCCTGGCCCCTTGCTCCTTTAGATCTAAATTCATCTCTTCACTGCCATCATGAAACAATACTGTCAAGACATGCAGGGGTGAGAGATCTGAAGAACAAGGGAGGAAGACTGAGAAAGAGAGATGAAAGGAAAGGATAAAATAGAAGACGAGGACCAAAAGACAGAGGAAGGAAAGGACAGAGGGACAGAAGAGTAAACATCATCCATCACTGAACTGCTAGAGCCAGCTGACAGAGAGAGAGAGAGAGAGAGAGAGAGAGAGAGAGAGAGAGAGAAGGAATGGAGGATGTGGTCTTGCACAGAAGAGATAACCTCCAGAGCTGATAAAAGTATGGAGTCCTCGGTCTTCTTCAGATCAGATGCTCTTCTTCTCTAAAAAAACCAGCCGCACATCAGATTCAGTACACAACTCTCTCTACTCTGGACCCTCTTTCATTCCCTCCACCCCCATCGGCTTACTCCATCATGCCTGATCAAAAAACTCTTATTAAAGAGGCATGGCTTTTCAATCTATGACACTGCATTCAGTCAGTGCTTCTACCCTCTGCTCCATGCTGCCTCCACTGCATATAGGGGACATATATAGAGAACTCTGCCTATACCAAGAGTATAATCCCTGGAGAAAGTTTTTCATTAGCATCCCTATACATCTCAATGGCAACTGCTGCAGTCGCATGATCCCCTGGAAGAAAGCAATTTCAAATCTGCCATCTTTGCTCATGGGCATTCAGCTTTTGAATAGCCGTCAGTGGAGAAAGATGCTTCGGTTCCAATAATGCTGAAATCTACCATGAGTGTATGCACATCTATATAAAAAAATTAACTCAAACTACTGTAAGGAATTAAAGCTCTGAAGTAAAAGGTGGTTCTGGGTGATAATAATAACCACCAGATAATTTTTTGGGGGTGTGTTACCGATAACTAACAAATATCATTTTTTCTGAATTATTAGATTAAGAATGAAATACTACCAACTAATATTAATAATTTTAATTTCTACAAGTGAATTTATGCATCACAACATTGTAAAGTACAGTATGAAAATTGAAGATTAATTTCGAGCTTGCTAAAGATTACTTTTAACAGTGTTATTTTAAATTATTAGTGCTTTTGAAGATGAAGTTTAAGTGAGCGACAGCTGAAGGCAAATGTGATCTACATGTAAAACAGGGGAAACGAGCAGCATAATTAAATATACAATATTGATTGATAATGATGAATATAAAAATTCTCTAATATCTGCCAATAAACAATATAGTACTGATATATTGTGCATATTTACAAAGAAATTACTCAAATACTGCTGTACAGAATTAAAGGGTCATGAAGCACCAAGCTACTTCTGAGATTTTAGCAGAGGTGTTTGTGTTGCACATCATAGGAGACAATGTTAGCAGCCGTTAATTTGAATGCTTGGAGAAAACTGGTAAATTTTGAGCTTTTTGCACCATTTTCGTCTTACGGGTTTAAAGACTGTGAGATTGCATACATTAAGTGAGAGACGCACGTTCATGGATCGAAGGAAAGCGTTTGTTTTTGCTTTGTAAGAGTTCAGCACAAATGCGATTTATTCACTTAGCGAGAGTAACCCGTTTTTACAGCGCCTTGATGCAATCCATCAAAAGGCTCATATAAACGCAGCAAAATAAGCCTTAAAAGTTATTAGAGTAGCAACAGCACATTCATATATTTTCGACGCAGAGTACAGATGCAAATGGCTGAGCATTTATTTGTTTTTTTAACTACATGGGGGCTAAATGAAACCATCTGAACCCAAAGCTGTGTGTGTTGTCGGTCTCTCCTCTGTGTTTAAGCTATACCAACATTTCAGTGTCTCTTGTAACATAAATGCTTGCTTTGATTCTGATTTCCGTAAAGGAAATCTCTGTAAACGTTGTTGCTCAGATTTGGGCACATTTTGGATACAGCCCTCCACAGCATACTACGGTCCTTTTGGTGACTAGATGTAATTACAAGATATAAATGCACAGTTAATCCAGATGTTATTTAATGATTCCTGAAACAATTCAATTAATGTAATCACTTCTCTCCATGTTTGCCACTGGCAATACAAGCACTGCTAAATTGGACACTCTGCCTCCAAAATTCAGCCCATGCTGTACTGCATGTCTATGACAGCACATATGCAGAAAACACTCAGATGAACAAAGTGTGACTGTACTGGTGACTGAGGCCTGACTCCCAGACATCTCAAAACACTGTACTGAAGGAACAAAAGTTCACTTGGGACAGAGAGGCAGGCAGGCAGGGGACAGACGAGTGTGATGACTTTGTATGCAAGTGTGGCGAGTTCCACGTCCAGTATCTAAACTCATCTAATGAAGTGTGCGGAGCGGCGATGTGGTTGTGCCGCATGGCTGCAGTTTAATTCCTTTGCATTTTCACCTTCAGACTAAAAGGAGGAGAACACTGTGATATGCAGCGGCATAGATACGCTGCACAGTGATGAGGGAAAAGAGAGAGAGACTATTTGTGCCCTTCTCCATTAATGTCCATGGGCAGATAAGACAGAAGGGAAGCGTTAATTAACATGGGCTTGAGAGAGGGACATTTATTTCCCCTGAAAAAACTGTTCTTATTTCTCTGAGCCAACAGCACTGCCCTAAGATAAACTCTCCCTCTGTCCAGATCTTCATCTATGTGGTGGCCTGCACAAACTTCCATCGTCTGAAATAACTATGACACTGAACAGCGCAGACAGAAAGGAAGCATGCACACAAACTTGCAAAAATCAATAAGCAATGATAGCGTACCTCCTGTCCAGAGAGGTAGTATGCAGCCAGAAGCCCTCCAATGAAGCGAATGTTGACCTCAAAGACAGATACTTCTGCATTCTGTAGAAACAGAGGGAAAAATGAGAAAGAGTATAAGCAGAACAGTGATAGCCTACTTTTTTAGGGTCCTTGGTTCCCTAAGCATTTTTTCTGTTTTTAGGAAATTCTAAAAATCTTTTAAAAAGCATCTAAATCAAACCAATAGTAAGAAACTTTTATTTGGGGGGAATAATTAAAATAAACATTTAAAAAAGGTTAAAAATGACTCTAGTCTTCAGTGTCACATGGTTCTTCAGAAATCATTCTAATACGCTGATTTGGTGCTCAAGAAATCTTTCTTCTTTTTACCAGTGTTAATTGTTCTGCTTAATTGATTCATTGCTTAATATTGCTTAAAACTGAAATTTTTTCCAGGATTCTTTGGTGAATAGAATCAAAATAGAATAAACGCATCCTTGCTGAACAGAAGTATTCACTAGGTTAAAAAAAAATCTAACTGACCCTACACATTTACAAAATACAATATATTTGAGGTTTAATGCAAATCAAATAGAATATATAATCGGTTTGACATTGTAAGAAGAAAAGTGCTGTTCAATTTCTGAATAAAATGAAAGTGATTTTTACTTTCAGCACATAACTGTTGCACTGTATATAATTTATTATATGTGCATGGAATGGCATAACAGCCATGCAAAGCTCCCAAATGAACTTCAAATCTACATCAAAGCTGATACAATAATCCCTCAGTGACACTGAAATGAATGCTGGAGCAGATTGCGTGTGTGTTTGTATCATCAACATCCATCTTGTCAGCTTCAACCTTTATTTAGAGAAAATTACCATGAAACAGTTTTCCACTCGCACAAAGATCACACCACAAACAGCAGCAATTCACACACACACACACACCTACCTTCAAGTCTCGTATAGCAAAGGAACTAATTCAACTAATGCCGAAAAAAAACGGAACACAGAGAAGTTCAATGGTATGGTTGTACGAACTCCTGAAATCCTGTTTTAGCCCCGTCACAATCCCATAATCCTCAGCACCTAAAAACAGCACCTGTTTTTGTATACCGCTTACGAAATAAAAGCAGGTTTTCCAGTTCTGAACATAACGCTGCTAAAGCGTCTTATATCGACTAGGTTTTACACTAATTTGATAAGACAAGAACATGCTTTAACCAACCCCTTCCATTTAGCATTCATTTAGTATGTCTATTAAATTTGACAAAAGTGAACGTGCACCAGATTAATTCAGATATGACCGTTCCCTGACCAAGGTCTATTAATTCAGTTTTTGGTTTAACAGCTGCGATTAATGCTGATGGCAGAAAGCCTCATCCATCATAACAACCGAAACACACACACACAGAGAGAGAGAGAGAGAGAGAGAGAGAGAGGTGCATTTCGTCTGTGGAACACAAAAGATGGTATTTTAAAATGTCTCAGCAACTTTTTGTAGATATAATGAAAGTCAACAGGGGTCCAATCAGATGGTTTGAACCCCATTGATTTTCATTATATAGACAAAAACAGATGAAACGGTCAGGACTGTAAGTGACTGTTATTTTTTTGGGGGGGTGAACTATTAAATTTTATTTTATTATAAAATGATGGGCAGCACTTTAATATATGGTAATTAATATAAACATTACTAAATTCCCAAATAATGCAATAATAAACAATTACCTTTTAAAGTATTTATTAATCTTGGTTAATGAAGTTTTGCATTCAGTACCATTCAAAAGTTTGCAATTTAAAATAGTGGCTATATACAGTGGGTACGGCAAGTATTCAGACCCCTTTAAATTTTTCACTCTGGTTTGAGACCTGTGATACTTTTTTCAGGATTCTTGAATAAATAAAGATGATTATTAAAAATAGAAATTGTGAGTTACAATATTACTCATAGTTTTGTGGCCAGTACATATTTTCTTTCTTTTTTTTTTTTTTTTTTAAGAAATGAATACTTTTCAGGGCTCGCAAAATTTCAAAATCCCTGGTAGCCCTTTGGGCAGGTACTCTTCAGATTTTGGTAGCCCGAAAATTTATTTAACTAGCCCAAATAAAAAAAATACCTTTTTTTTTTAAATATAGAAAATCAAATAGGAGTTTAAATGTCAATCAGAAATATTTTCAATACACAAATAACAAATATGAAGGAAGGAATTTTATTTCACTATTTACAGGGTATCTGCAGAATTTTTTGAAATAAATTTAAGGCAATTTATGACCCATTTTAAGAGCTGCACAAGTAAAATGAACAGTCTGAGTGGAGTTGGACAATGTCTATGGTAACATGCAGTATTGAGCCATAAAATTACATGATTTACAGTTCAAATACAGGTTTTCACAAAAACAAAAATCTTATACAACAGCATTTCAGCCTTTAGACAATTTTTTATGAAAAGGGATAAATCAAGTATATAAATTGTCAATTTAAAAATATAAAATATAATATATAAATATTACTGTCTTACTGTCTTAATTGTTTAGATTTTTAGAAGGCACATTAACTTCTTTCTCATTTACAAATCTATGTGTTTGCTGCGTAAAATCATGAGTTGATATTTGCATTGATCTGACCATAAACAGCAAGAAAGGCTTATTGGAAATGCAAATTCATTCTCTGCCACGAGGTGGCGCTTTAGGAGTGCTGAAATATTGCGGTTTCCCCGGTAACGGCTTCACACAAAGCAGCTCCTGCCAGTGTTGCCAGACGTACAATAATGATCGTATTTGTACGATAATTTTGACCTCTGTATGATCAATAATGAAAAAAATTCCATAATGTACGATCATTTCATAATTGTATGACAATTCAAATGATGGAAGTTGTAGTCATAGGGCTTCTATATTCATACACGAAATCGGCTCATTACAGACACTCTAAATGCGTACGTACACACCTCAGAGTGCGTTAAGAAAGCCAACATTGGACATTTCCAATCTGGCAACACTGCTCCGCGCTCATAAACTCTGCTTTATCAGGAATCATAGGTAAAATGAAATTCAAATGCCAACGACACATTTCTGATGACAGTCGGTTCCCTTCAGATACACTCAAATAAAGACATCTGCGCCGCGTTATGGTTTTGACGGGAAACTGCAGCGCTCATATTTATTCAATGACATCATTGCCTTTTGAAGTTTAATCCAGCCATATCGCGACTCTCGTCTTTCCGTGCCCAACTGTAAGACCTCTTGAAATTATAATTAAGACATTTCTTATACCATTTAACATATTCCAAACTTTTTATGTCCTTAAGTTTGATACAACACTCACTTTAGGAGTTTTTAAGGACCCACGGGAGATCTGCATCTAAGGTAAGTTAGCCCGTCGGGCAGAGTGGCCATTCATTTTGGTAGCCCGACTGGAAAACACAATAGCCCCGGGACGTCGGGCTAGCGATTTTGCAAGCCCTGCTTTTATTCAGCAAGGATGTGTTAAATGGATAAAAAGTGATAGTAAAGACTTAGATTGTTAGAAAAAATATGTATTTTGAATAAATGCTTTTTAACTTTTTATTCATCAAAGAATCAAAGAAAAAAGTATCACAGGCTCCAAGGAAATATTAAAGCACAAGCAGCACAACAGTTTCAACACTGATAATAAATCGGCATATTAGACTGATTTCTGAAGGATCAAGTGACACTGAAGACTGGAGAAATAGCAGATGAAAATTCAGCGCTGTGTCGCAGAAATAAACTATATTTAAAAGTATATTAAAATAGGAACCCAATAGTAGAAATTTCACAATATTACTGTTTTTTCTGTATTTTGATCAAATAAATACAGACTTGATGAGCCTAAGAGACTGCATTAAAAAACAAAAAATCTTACTGATCCCAAAACTTTTGAAAAGCTGAGTACACATTTAAAATGTAATTTATTCCTGTTATGACAAAGCTCACTTTTCAGCAGCCATTCATACAGTCTTCAGTGTAACATGATCATTCAGAAATCATTCTAATATGATCATTTGGTGTCCAAGAAACATTCTTCAATGTTGATGCTACGTAATATTTAAAAAACACAGGGTTTTGCACACGCTTCCCTTCCTCGCTCGCTTATGCTGTGCAGTTTATTGCCCTCTCCAAAAATCCTTCCAACACCCTCAGCGGCCAGACCCAATGGTTCAAACGTGAGTCATCCTTCAGAGTGCACATGCTTTGCAAGATATACTTGTCCAAAAGTAACAGTGAGGATGGGGAGAGAGAAGAAATTAGGTCACTGCTGGAAAACCAAAAAGATGAACTAAACACGCAGAGGAGACTTCAGACGCTGAGAGTCCACCAGATCTGTTCAAAGAAAGGTGGCAGAAGGGAGACAGGAGAAAAATCACACAACACGCAGACACCAGAGAAATGATAAAGCCAAGAGAACCATACAGGTTCTCCATATCTGATGGAGGAGAAGCCGGAAAAACAACTGATAGGGAGAGAAACTGGATAAATCCCATTAATGGGTCAGGATGTGAATGCAGACAGAGAAGGAGAGCAGGAGACACGGGGCCCCTGTAGGGTTGTGACGGTGAGGAAATTCTCCCACCGGTTAATCGACGTGTGACAACACCGGTAATACCGGTATCACCGTGGGGGCGGGGGCGTTCCCTCTTTTCCTCACTTTCCTTCGCTTTTAAATAGCTTGTAAAAGCACCGTGCACATTTTACTTTCAAATCGCGGCAATTCAGCGTAACGCAATTGTTCGTTTTTAGTTCGTTTGAATTTTCCTTCTTTTCTTCGCTTTCCTTCTCTTTTAGATAGCTTAAAAGCGCCGTGCGCATTTTACCTTCACTTTCGAATTAGTGGCAGTTAGGCGTCAATTGCTTGAATGCAACAACAAAATACAACGTCAAACTCACTTTAGCCTATATATAAAACATAGAACTTTTATTAACAAAATAAATAAAAATACACCATGCTATATGGCAGGCTATGCCTAGTATAAAATAACAAACAACTTACATAAAGTTTAAATAGGTATACAAAACTGTAAATAGGCTAAGTAAACATGTATAATATAAACAAATAAATAAGAAACGTAGAATGTTTATTAGCAAAACGAGTAAGAAAGCTTGGAGGCATAGGCCTACACCTTGATGTCAAATAAAATAAATAAATGACACAGTTTAAATAAAGTAAAAATCAGCAAACAATGTGGAACCAATTAAATAAGAAACGATTGTTTAAAAAAAACCTTCCAAAATCACCTTAGATAAACGGCAAAAGTCAACAGGCTTTTCAAAATCCAAAATATTGCCAAACAGGCACTTTTGCATCTCGTTTCGAAACTAAATCATCCGCGATCGTCTTGTCTGTCTCACCTCACTCTTCTTGTCAGTCAGCTCGACTCACTCTCCTCACTGGATAAATGAAATCTGATATGTGATGTGACTGTCGTATGGCACGCTGCATTGAGCAGCCGCATTCAGTTTTTAATTGTAGTGTCTGTTCTTTTACTGAACTAAATTATTTCTATTACTATAAAAAAATCTAAACGACGGTGGGGGTCGGTGCCGCGGTGAGCAGGTGACGGTGTTGCGGCTTAACACCGGTACCACCGTCAGCACCGTCTATCGCGGCAAGCCTAGGCCCCTGGGGCCACTCGCCGGCCCCCGCTTCATTCTCTTTGACGTCTCTTTTGTCTGCCATTTTTTCCTCAACATCACTGGCTAATTCCGGAGGCAGAGCAGTTCACATTGTTTCCATGGCGCCAGTCTTGTCTCCTGGATACAGTGATGTGTCACATCAACTCAACACGTTTTCCACAGAGTGCCACCACAATCTGATCAAAACCTGAAAGATGCACACACGCTGAGGACTGAAGTCTTTGAGGGGTCACGGGGTGTTGAATGACTGTTAATACAGCTGTGTCAGCTGGCTGCCAAAGTATACAGCTTACCACTGTGAAATAACAAGAGTCCTGAGATATAACACTGTCTGCAAACAAAAACAGACGTGCTTTGCCTCCAAACCGACAAAGACAAGTGTTGTTGGTAAGCATGTGCGTGTGTGTGTGTATGTGTGTTCATGTCCGAGTCTTGGCCACTTACCACACTGAAATCCAAGTTTTGCTCGATCCACTCCTGGGCATCCTTAAACTCATCGTGGAGGCCCATTATGTAAAGGGTATCCAGGGCGTCTACTATAGTGGCCCCCATCTGGGAATTACCTGCGGAGAGGATGTAGATATGAATATTTACTGAATACATATGCACCACAGTAATTAAAAAGTAGACAAACTTATGGTTACATAATCGGGTCAGTCTGATGCAAGCAATATAAATCTGAATTAGTGTAAAGCTAGAGAGCAGAGCACAAGAAGGAAAACAGACTAAATGCAACACTATGGCTCAATTAAAAGTTTGGGGGTCAAGTAAGATTTTTTTCTTTTTTGAAGGGAATTAATTTTATTCAGAAAGGAAGCACTCAATTGATAATAATTGAACGTTTATAATGTTACAAAATATTTACACTTTCTACATTTCTTTTTCTTCAAATAGCTGCTGTTATTTTGAGCTTTGTTCGTCGAACAATCCTGAAAAAAAAACGATCACTGTTTTCACAAAAATATTAAGCAGCACAAACCGTTTTAAAACTAAAATTTTTAAATGCAGCTTTTCCGCTATAGTAATAAATTACCTTTTAAGATATATTGAAATAGATACTTTTATATTTTAAATTGTAATAGTATTTCACAGCATACATTTTTTACTATATTTATGAACAAAAATATAAAGCCTTTAAAAAACATCTTAGAGATCTTAGAGATAACCAAACTTCTGAATAGTAGTGAACTGTTTATATTTCCAGAGGACATTGAAGGAATAATTATGATGCTAAGTATGAGATAAAAGACTTAACATTTAATCTATATACTGATAATCTCAATGAAAATTGAGTCCGTGAGTTGAACCCAAGAAATGAATCATTTGTGAACTAACTGATCTGTGACTAACTGATTCATTGGAAAAGATCTGATTCAAATGAATGATTCAGACATCACTACTATAGTGCCTTGCACTCATTTTTTTTTACATTTAGTTTTGTTGTTGCCTTATGTTAAACTGCTTTAAATTCGTTTTTTCCCACAACAATCTACACTCCATACACCATAATTGTCAAGCAAAAAAACTGGTTTTTAACATCTTTGCAAATTTATTACAAATAAAAAAGTAAAATGATTCCATTGCATCTTGCATATCTGGGACAGTTGAAATTTAGCTCAGGAGCATTCATTTTGCTTGCAGTTAACCTCTGGCAAATTCAATTGAATGGGTATGATTTGGAAAGGCACACGTCTTAATAAAAGGTCTAACAGCTGATAATGCATATCAGAGAAAAAAACAAGCCCTGAGGTCAAAATAACTGCCTGTAGAGCTCAGAAACAGGTTGGCGTCAAGCCACACATCTGTGGAAGAGTTCAGAAAAAAATTCTGCTTCAATGAAGGGTCACAGAAGCATGTAGTCTCTGTTACCCTTAATGGAAGAAGTTTGAAACAACCAGGACTCTTCCTAGAGCTGGCCTCCTGGCCAAACTGAGCAATTGATGGAGAAGGGCTTTGGTTAGCATGGTGACCTAGAACCTGATGGTCACTCTAGTTGAGCTCCATGATTATATGTGGAGATAGGAGAAATCTACAGAAGGACAAACATCGCTGCAACACTCCACCAATCCACTCTTTTGGCGGTGTGGCCAAACTCAATCCTCTCTTTAATGAAAACTCATGAAAACACACTTGGAATTTACAAAAAAGCACTTAAAGGACCCTCAAGACAAGGACAAGATTCTCTGGTCTGATGAACCTTAATTCTAAGCATCATGTTTGAAGGAAACCAGCTCTCCTCATCACCTGCAGAGTACCATACCAAAAAGCAGCAGCCTCAATGCTGTGGGGCTGTTTTTCAGCAGGGACTGAGGGACTCGTTAGAGTAGAAGAAACACTCAGTGCAGCAAAATATAGAGATAGCCTTAATGAAAACCCAGTCCAGAGCATTCAGAACCTCAGACTGGGCAGAAGGTTCACCTTCCAACAGGACAAATCACCCTAAGCACACAGCAAGAGTGGCTTATAGACAACTGTGTGAATGTCCTTGGGTGGCCCAGCCACAGCCTGTGATTGAATCCAATCAAATATTTCTGGAGAAACCTGAAAATGTGCATCTGCCCCCATCCAACCTGACAGAGCTTGAGAGGTGAACAGGTGAGGTGAAGAATGGCAGATAATTGCAAAATGCTGATGAACAAAGCTTGTCGCATCAAACAAAAAAAGACTTGAGGCTGTAAAGGTGCTTCAGCTAAATATTTAGTTATATGCTTATGTAATGTACTTATTTCAGTTTTTTATTTTTAATAAATTTACGAAGTTGTGAGCATTCTGTTTTTGCTTTGTCAGTATGGTGTATGGAGTGTAGACTGATGTGGAAAAAAGTAACTTAAAGAAGTTTATCATAAGGCAGCAACATAACAAAATGTAATGTAAAAAAACGAATACTTTCGCAAGGCACTGTATGAATCAGAATGCACAGAGGGCAGCTACCGCAAATATGCTGAAACTTTGGGCCCTATTTTAACGATCTAAGCACATGGTCTGAAGCGCAAGGCGCAGGTGCACTTAGGCCGTGTCCGAATCCACTTTTGCTAGTTTAACAACGGGAAAGACGGTCGGCTCACCCGGCGCATGGTCTTAAAGGGTTGTCCCTATTCTTTTAATGAGTAATGGGTGTGTTTTGGGCATAACGTGCAATAACCCAATCTGAGTTTCATCTCCCATTCCCTTTAAGAGCCAGTTGCGCTCGTGCCATGGCGGATTTGCTATTTACACAGCGGAATTTGCAAGCACAAAGACTGAACGCATCTCCAGAGAGGAAACGGAGCTGCTTGTGTGCAAGCAAATAGGTAGCCTAATTCTGATACATGCGATGACTATCTATTATGACATGTAGGCATATTTACAGTGGGTACGGAAAGTATTCAGACCCCCTTAAATTTTTCACTCTTTGTTATATTGCAGCCATTTGCTAAAATCATTTAAGTTAATTTTTTTTCCTCATTAATGTACACACAGCACCCCATATTGACAGAAAAACACAGAATTGTTGACATTTATGCAGATTTATTAAACAGCCTACACAATAATAATCCTTTAAATTGTAATATTTGGCATGGTTGTGTGCTGCGCGTCCCTCTGTGTAATAAGCAGAGTGCATGCGCGTTGTGGACCCACCTATAGGCGCATATTACTAACGAGCTCTTTAAATAACAAAAATGACTGCATTGACTTTAGACCAGGTTTTAGTTGGTCAATGGCGCAGTCTATTTCAGTTGCCTCAAAACAGCAACGCGCCAACAATGCGCTTGAACACACCTCGTTTTCAGACCAGCATGCCCACGAGCACACAAATGGGAGCATATGCATTTGCTATTTAAACAACATGGTGCAGGACGTGAAAATGATAACTGCGTCGGGCTGAAACTAGCAAAAAACACGAGTCGTGCCTGGCGCCGCATTGCACCGAATGTATGATAGGGCCCCAAATCTTTAATACAATAATTTTTTGTATTTCTGTTTAACATTAAATTTTTCCACAAATCAACTTATTTTTTAAAGATTTATTTTGGACATTTTTGCCTTTATTATGATAAGACAGATCAGAGCTGACAGGAAGCGAAGTGGGAAAGAGAAAGAGGGGTATGATCGGGAGAGGTCCTCGAGTTGGGATTTGAACTCGGGACGCCCATAGCGCAACTGTGCTGTATGTCGGCATGCTGTCCACAAAGCTATTGGCACAGACTAAACAACCCTTTTAAAGTTCCAGCTCATATTTCAAGAATACGGTTATCCCACAAATAAAAATAATCTCAAGAGTGGAAAATTGTTGAGAGATGCTGTGTGGCATTTCACTCTCTCTCTCTCTCTCTCAATCTGTAGAACCGCAGTCTTATCATTATTGTCAGGAACTCTAAATCACTCTAAAAATACCCATCAGCCCTCAGACTCATAGCTCTTCTAATCTGTCCAGACTGCTGCTTCAGCTTGTCCAGAGGCACCGCAAATGGACCCAGCCTTTCATGAACCACAAACACTTTTGCTTTTCATCCCTCTTTTTTATAAGACTTGAATCTCTTTCCTCTTACATCATTTAAGGCTATACTATCTTTACTGCCTTCCTCTATCACCCTGTCCATTTTTGTTTCATTTTCAGTGTTTTTATACATCTGTAAAGTGAGTCCCTTCCTATTTGACTATGGCACCATCACTAAAGATGAATCCCATCTATGACTTCACTTTGAAATAAAATAAAATAAAACAAGTTGCAACCCAAGACCCACAGAACTGGCTACATATTCATCCCTCACTGCCTCATTTCCAGTCCCATAAAAACACTGCCCATCTTGAGTAAAATCCACACTCTCTGGCTTTCTACTGGACTTGAAATCAGTTCTCATCATACTGAATGAATCTTGATTGGCATTTACACAAGGCTGGCATTCTGGATGCCAGACTTTTCTGGTGTAAATCAAATTGGACTCAAAGTTACTTGGGGAATTCCAATAGCAATCAGTCCAAGCTCCTCTCTCCGCTTCCTACAAGCCATCTCTCCATCCCACGCTCCCTCACTTTGTGTCATCCATGCCAGTTTCATTTGGCGACAGATTGCGAGCTGTTCTAATATGAACGCAGACGTGGCAGCCGGTGTGATGATTTCATTCTTCGGATTCAGTCTCATCTTGAGAGAAAACCAGCAGAGAGGTTCTCAGTAGTAGAGAGGTTTATTTAGTTAAATGCAGGCGTGTGTTTGTGAATGCGGGTACTTATGTATACAAAAAAGGAGATCTTTACTTTGTTGCATCTCCAAGCCAAAGGCATGAGTCAGAAGGCTTTCTCCCTCTATCTGTGTTGTCTCTGGGGTTTATCAAGGAAATGGAGAGGGGGAGAGAGTCAAACCCTCTCCATAACTAATAGTTTAATAGTGCCCACCATTTCTGCTGCCACTGATTCTCCCTGGACCCTGACTGCAACATCTGCTGCGCTCATCAACAAACTGCCATGGCTAAGTGTGTGCGAGAGAGAACAGTAGAAAGAAAAGACAGAGTAAAGAAAAAGACACATTAGACCATATAGACAGAATTGTGAGAGATTTTTCTCTTTTTTTTTATCCATACTATTT